TGACCGCTCTTCTCGGAACATGATCCTCCCCTTTCCCTTTTCTTCGCTTTCTCTCCATCTTCGTCATCCTCCTCTTCCCAAAACCTTGTTGTTAGTACCTTCATGTCAGTAACTTGATTGTTCTTTCTGTAGATCACTAGCGGCAATGTACGAACGAATACTGGATGAAGGAGAGGTCGCAAGAGACATTGTTGACGCTATTCGTGCCACTACAGATGCTCCATTACACGCATGTATCGATGCTGCTAGAACTTGTATGTCTGTAATGGCACCATTTATTCAGTAAGTTTGTGGTGTTCATCTAATAGCTTTCGTAAAATGCGAACGTTATGAGGATGTAGTCTATTACAGCAGAGGCGCGGTGACAACAGCGAAAGAGGCGTTTAGAGCAATCCTGCCTTCGGGGAAAATCTTTGCAGAATATACCCTGAAAACGTTTCCATTATGGTACGAACCCCCTCCAAATTCCTCATCCTATCTACCATCTTCCCAACTTCCTACCTTTTAGTTTCTTCCGAAACTTCTCCAGTTTTCCCCTCCCTCCCCCACCGAAAAACTGTAGTCGAGCAACTGTAATCAATGGGAAATATCCGGCTAAAGTGTGGGCCGAGCCACGCCTCGGATGAGAATGAACTATACCCAAGTCATGTTTATGAGGAAAGATGCTCGTTCAGCATAACTTACCGCTGCCTCAGGCCAAAGACATGATTCACTTGTCCCAGAACGGCAGTATCCCACCGAAAACTCTGCCGCAGTGCATGCGAGCGGGCAGCTACGACTTCCACTTCCCGGGATGTGAAGTATGTCCCCTTCCAATATCAACGTCTAACTTCGTTAACCTTTTCCCGTCAGTCATTTATCATCCACCACAGTGAATATTTCAGGGCTGCAATCCTGTAAGGGTAGCCACTCTATACCAGCAAAAAAAGCCGATCCTAGATTGCTGAGGAAGCTATGTACCGAAATATTTGAAGAACGACATAATGTTGCAGAAACTGTTAGACTCCTTTTCGGATCATTGGCAATTTCTTCAACGGGAACCTCTTATTCAGCTGAAATTTCCTAACCAATTGTCGCCCAGGGAAGGGAAAGCGCCTCTGAAACGCTCCCCAATCCAGGGGAAGCCGTCAGCAACCGAAGGACGCTACCATTTTGAGTGGAAGACCTCCCATTTGACCATCCACAGTGGCGTGTCCATGGACCTCCGTGGCAACCACCATGAGCTGCTTCAGGATGAGCGGGTCATATAGTCCCCCCAACTCCGATATCGGCCTTTCGGAAACAGACACGCGCATTTAACATCTGTTCAGGGACGAATCATTCTCCCGAATTCAAAAAGCAGTCCGTGAATATATTGTGTGTGTCAATGACTGCTACGACTATCGCCTTCTTTCGCAAATCAAAGGACAGTTGGCTGCTGTATTCAATGAGAAAGATGAGGTATGAACAGCTATTCACTTTTCTTTCTTGAGAGCGCCGTATTTTTTTTGATTTAAGCTCAGCTTCTCCAGTGAACAAGATGACAACTACTTCATCAAATACTTCAAGCTTCCCGCACCGTAAAGTTCTTTTGTAAAGGCCCACTTTCGGAGAATAGATTCTCATTATTAATTTATTTATACAGACGAAGACCGAATCCAGGTGGTCATATGATGTCACAAGCGGAATGAATTTGAATGGCTAAATCATCTCATAAATGTTTATCAGATGGTTAATTTTCGTGTAGAAAACTTCAGGCTCTGTTTGGCATAGGGATGGAGGGTGGAAGGGGGTATCTTGCTAAGTTAACTGTTCTCTCTGCTAGTTCCTGTTAATAAGAGGTCTCACTTTGGTTACAAGAGTTTAGTCTTTACAAGGTGGATTGCACAAGCTTTGCTGAGTATCATTTGTTGCCCCGACCAAGCCGAACTGTGCCTAAATTTTATTATGAGTCATATTAAACGACATCACATTGCTCCATTAAGGACCAGAACGAAAGTGTCCGCTTGGAAGCGCTATGTTGCATCAAATCGTTGGTCGATGTTTGTCGAAGTCTTATTCCATTTCTTCTCAACTCACGACTCCCAGAAGTACTAGCTTTGGAATTTCCAAACAATTGATACTGCTCTGACCGGCTTGCATCTCATCGCTATAAAACTACTCACAAAAATTTATTCAACTGATCGGCCGCCTCCACTCAACCATTTTGGTATGTTGTGTCATCCATAGAAATTGCAGAAGCTGAGATTATTACCCGCCCTGTAAGTTGTGTTTATGACTCGGAAAAAATATGAGAAAAGGATCCACGAGAAGGCAATCCAGCGAAGGAGAATACTCTCCTGCCTATCGGTTCTGTATTCGTGAGAGGAGTAAGGGGGGGGGGGGGAAAGGCTCATATTGTTAGACTTCTCCTCCCATGTGAGAGACAGGGTACATCCTCAATCAGCTCGACACTACTCACCCACATTGCCTTGAGTACGATCCTTCCACTTGTGAGTCAAGACCCCCTCCACTCATCTCCTCACTCAACTTCTCAAAAAAAATCTCGTTGACGTCCGTAAGGGAAAAAGGTCTCTTTAGCGCACTCCTCCACATTAAACAAACCCTAGCAAGAGCCCCCCCCCTGCCTTACACGTCTTTACTATGATATCCCTTGCTGAAGCCTCATGGAGGACGATGTACACTCTCGTGCGCGACCACGTTTGGCGCACTAGCAGCCCGTTCTTCACCAGTTGATGGGAGGGTAAGTGTCAACAAATGCTGGAAAACGTCTGAGACGAAGTATATGATACAGTCCTATCGTTTGCCGAGAGAAAAAAGGTTGGCGCCGCGTCAAGGCGGCCGCGCTGACACGCCATCATCCGCACCGAATCTAGGCTGGTCTTGTCGTTGTTAGTGATTACCCATCAAAACCCTGTCTATGTGGGAAAGTAAAAAGGATGAAATATCCATGGACAGTAACATCAGGTCCCAAACGAGTCAGTCCATTCGATACTCGCCGCTAATAGTCGCTGTAAACATACCAGCTATGTTTTCAGAAAGGTGTAGATCATCAGCGCTGATTCTTTTACATCACTTCCTCTTTCAGAGTTTTTTGACTGGAATTTCTTCATGAAGATAATCGGGCATTTGAAAGAGCATCCGTCCGAAATACTGGACTTCATGGTTAACTTCAGTTTTCTCATCCCAGGACTTAATGGCAATGCGGTGATACTGGCCCTTGAATCAAATCCCTGTCCGCTTCTTGGACAGCTTTTAGTAGAATCTATTAATAAGGAAATAAGCGGTAGGTTTAAATATCTTTCTTGACGTGAGAAAATCAGCTTATTGTTGGTTGAAAGCTTCAGATCGTCGGCTTAAATTCTTCATAGACATTGTTGAACATGGTGCATTGTACAAAGAATTGTTTTACGAAAATGATCTCGATGTGTTATCACATGTAGTTGCTAGAGAATTGGGTAACTCTGATGTTGTACAGGTTTGTTCAGTCTGCTTTTTTTAATGTGAAAACATGGTGAGGCACAAAAAGTTTTATTAGTCATTGTTCACAGTCTGCGACCCTGACGAAACGGCGGTTGGGAGAAAAGCAAAAAATAGTCATCGATCGGAGAATCGCCAACCGCTAGTTTCGCCGAACCGCCGCGGTTCGGCGGTTGGGCTTTCGCTGGCGAAAAACGCCACGGCGATCGAGCTAGCGTTTCGTCGAAGGCCGCGGTTTGGCGAAACGCCCGTCGATTCGTATCAAAACCCTTTCGCCCAACCGCCAGTCGATACTATCGAAGGCTTTTCGCCGAAGTTCCAGAGAAACGCTGGACCGCAGACTGTGAATAGTGCCTTAGAAAGGCTTCAAGAATTCAAAAGGTAATCAAAAAGTTTTTGCGGAAGTATTTCTTTCTTGTTATAATATTTCGGTGCTGAGCAGCTTCCTCAGCGATCTAAAATACAGCAATTGAAAAAATGCTGTTACTATGGTGCATTCAAATGATCTATACCCTGCCTCTGCTGCTATGGAGTGGCCACCTTACGGGAGATGAGCTTCGAAGGACTGAGTGACCGATACCTCGAGGACTCCCGTAAGGGCAGCCACTACATACCAGCGCAGGCAGGGTCCAGGCCACTTGGAAGCAGCACAATAAAAGTCCATTTTTCTGATTGATGTTTTTTTTAGATAGCCGAGGGGGTGCTAATCATAAGCACCGAAATATTCGAAGAAAGATATAATTTTACAAGAATTTTTGGATTTTACTTTTAAGATCTTTGGAGTCTTTTGCATCAAAACTTGTGGTGCCTCTTTATATCTTACGCTTAGACTCCAGTGGGGCTCCAGGGCAGCACACAACTACGATTCTGCTTTTTTTATTCCCTATTCAGATTCGTTCCCGTTGCATGGAATGTATCGCTCGATTGGCAGAAATCGGTCATTGTGATCGTATGGTACGGGAGGCCGTCGAGAATTACGATCTCGACGAAGAATTGCGTTTACAAACCTTGGCTGTCATAAATAAGCACCAATCATGACCGTTTAGTTCTAGATTTTTACAATTATAATATATTGTAGAGAGTACGATCATTAATGTTGTGATTAGCTCGAATCCCGGTGCTAGGTATCGTTTTCAGGTTGTGAACAACGCTTGTCGCTTGTGAACTATTTATACAGGAATTGCTGGCATTTATTTTATGTACATTTCATGTTACCCATTCATCATAATAAATCTATAGAGTCTCTCTTCTAAACACCTATTTTCGGGACATACTATAATCGCATCCACCTAATTCGTAGCCCATGATATGATGGCCCCTCGATTCTTCACAAAGAACACCTTGCTAACCTGAAACGTAGAATAATGCTTTCGATCCATCCAAGACGACATCGTTAAGGAACGCTATATCATTCCCACTATAGCAGTCAAACTGCGCGCGACAACAAAGCACTTATAGCTGGGCGCGTCAATCTTAGCATTGGCACGATAATCACCAAAGCCACAGAACACATACTCCTGCAGGATAGAATTCCGGCGACTCCGGGCCCAGGCGCTGTATAGCGGTTTCCCCGAGGAGTGCCCTTAATAATGGCCTAATCAAGCGCAACTTAACGTCTCAAACACACAAACCGCCATGACAGAGATCTTAGCACGCTCGATTCATGTAATTTGGCTAAGCAAAATTAATGAACGTAGGGATGGTATGAAGCGCGCCGTATGAAATCGCACTCATATATGGTCACATATCAGGTCCGTATCTATCTTCGGTAGCGGTGATTGGTAAGATGCCTACGGGAAACTCGTCCGAAATCGATTTACAAGTCACTGAGAACGGAGGCTTTTTCTTCGCAGGATTTTGACCGCGTTACACTCCCCACCTCGCACTCGCTACTCTATTCGCCATTCCCCACTAAACCAGCGCACCACTAGCATTTTAGCTAAGTAGGAACCATCCGTGCAAAGTGCTTTGAGCAGAGACTAACACAGAATATCGCGAAAGATGGACAACTATCACGCTATGGTCACCAACCGACAGATACAGCGCCTACGAAAACACTTGCGCCTGCTATGACGCTATAAATCGGCACACCGTGTCGGCCGTCCTGGAGCCTCACATGTTCACATCAAAGAATGTCATTCCGGAATAATTTTTCAAATGGGTCAATATCCGCCCGAAAGAATATCACATCGTCGTTCTGAATGACTCCAGACACATTAAATCATTATAAGTCCTCTAGTCAAAGTGAGATACTGATTGAACGTGACTAGCTCGTTTTACAGACGCCTTTGGTAAGCAGCACAGATAGACCAGGCTTGACCTCGCCTGATGTTTAGAGCCCGTAATTAGTTTTCATCTCATTCAAAAGTGACGGCCGACACATATAGAGGAATGGCAGAAAAGCAAAGGGGATAGAGCAGCGGGCTACTATACCATTTGGAAGCTAGTACCTTAAGCTGTGTATCTGTGAAATTTGGCGAACCTAGCCTCTGAAGTTCTCGAGAAATTGAAGAGAAGCCCGAGTGGTGAAAATCGGCGCCGGTTTTTCAAATCAGACGTTCAAAAAGGAAAGTGCGCTGCTCAAATTTGACCTGCGCCGGACCATAGTTGTGTGTAAGGGTGTTCTCGAAATACACGGTGGAAGATCTGGTTCAGGAGCCCGTACAAGGAAGAAAGGAAAAAATTTGTTGTCGTGGGTGGTCCCATAATATTCATCCTGCACAAGAAAAACGGGTGGATGAAGTCAGGCACTGAATATCTGATCACAGAGCCTGGACCCTTGTCGAGCTTCCCCGCGAGTCTGACATCCCAGCTGCAACTGCTGCCCGAGTTATGTCCGATAAACGGAGGATGGTCAAGAGGGTGGCGCATGGGTACCCAATTTTCTTATAGAAGCACGAACGCAGTACCGATTCTATACCTCCAGCAGTAATGTTCTCAGCATGAGATGTCACTCACAACTGTGAAAACGCACCCCGGCCCTAGATGAAATATGGGTGGTCTCGGACCTCGAGTCGAAACTCACAATCGTCAATTTTCTATGAATGCAGATGAGAAGCCGCCCGAGTTCTACCATGAAGAGTTACGTGGGCGCAAGTGGATGATCATCATAGCAAAGGATTCCCACTTGTGCGCTTCAAGCGGCTCTAACAGTAGGACAAATCCGCACGTCCCCCGGTGATATTGCCTGTTCTCGGCATTCTAGATCGAAAATGATGGTACGACAACAACTACAAGAATGGCCAGCCGTTGCTGCGTATAGTGCAGACACCGCGAGTAACTGTATTGTAGACATGTGCGGGACACAAAACAATACTGGATACCGTGAGTTAAGTCGTCATTCGCGTATCGCGCCGTCATAAAGCCATGCGATTACAACTGTTCTATTCAGTAGAGAGTACTCTTCGACGGCAGACGCTACAATGTTTTGTCATTTGCCGAAATTGGCAACAACAGCAATTTACTCACACTTGTTGAAAAATCGAAGGTACCAGAGGTCCAAAGGCCCTCGGGGCACTGGGAGCGGGTCATTGGTGAAGGAGGGATTTACTCATCCTAAAGCTAAAATATCACTTTTCTATCTATTCTCCTCTTTATTTTATTCAAAAAAAACCATCGGCCACTTTGAATGGGATGACCTAATATTTTACCATTCTACCGCGAACAACCGAGCAGTCGACTCCAATAAACAACTTTCACAGTTATCTATCAACACACGCTCGACCTGAAATCTAAGGTATTCCGGTGCCCGCGGTACGGCGCCGAGGGCGCTAAGCTACCTATGATTATCACATCGCTAAGATCTGTCCCAGGTGTAGTTTGAAGTCCGTGCCAACCGAGATTATCATTTGCTAAACCTGAATAAAAAACTGGCGCCAAAGTACGCTAGAGCCTGACGTTTGACAACACATTGTGTAGCGGGAGAATTCACATCGCCTGATACGGGAGTACGACATCATTCTTGGCGCTGACGCTCATGGAAGACGCTACGATCATCTGTACTCTGCTAGGGCTGAGCCTAGCCCGAAGGAGATCACTGATTCCTCCACGTTCGGCCTAAGCAAAGCGCTGAATTTCGCTGGTGACGGGAAAAGAATGCCATTTTCGGAAACAGGGCACCAAACAACCTTACTATGCAAGTTTTTATCGATTTTGATGGAAAATGGTGTGACGCTAAATGGCGCAAGGGCTAAAATGAATGTCATTTTCGTGATAAGGGTTTCGAATAGCCCCTTTATCAAGTTTGAACCGATTTTGGTGATGAGAGCGATGGCGCCAAATTGGTCTCTAGTTGCGTCAAATGGTGCCGGCGTCAAAAACGAAGGTCATACTAGTGGTAAGGACATCGAATTGCCTTTGTTGGCAAAGCTTCACCAGTGAAAAATTTTTGAGTTGTTGGGTAGCAACAGTTGAACAGTGTCGCTAAGGTTTCAAAACAAATACTAAAAATATTCCATGACCGGTTTTCAATTAATCTCGGCATATATCTCTTGGCAATTCTTTCCTTCAGGCCTTGACCCAATGTTCACAGTGCCATATGGTCCCTAGAGCCCTTTGACCCGAGAAACTTTGAGCTGAAACTCATATAAAAGCACCGCTCAGGCTCTAGACTCAGAGTGCCCGGTAGAGTTCCACATCAGTAAGAGGTGAGTTGTAGGTCCGTTTACGATTTCGTTCCCTGATTCCCTACCCTTGATTTTCTTTTGTAAGTGATGTTGGTTTTGGGCGAAGTGTTTCGATAATGTGCTTTCGACTTTTACAGGACTCCGAAGAAGGCGATTTTCGCCGAAACGTTAGTCTAATAAACGTCTTTAACAATCTCGGAAGGCTAAAGATCAAGCTAAATACTAAAAAAATTGTAGTTCGCGAGCAAATAAGGTTCTCACCGGGCCATAGATGTTGCTGTCGTTGGCATTCACTGGATTATCACTTTCCATCCAACAACAGCCTTTCGGCACGAGGAGGAGCTCATTTCGATGTTTTGGCCTGAAAGGCCGAGATTATTCTACATTTTGAAAGGCTGAAATGAGACTCACTTGACGATATCGCCTTCGACAGCCGTCACCCTCTTGATGTGCACCATATCAGGTTCTCGAGGAGATCTGTTAACCATTTCTTGATATTTTTTTATTCCAAAAAACAACCACAGGAGAAGACTTACATAAAAGTGAGAACGTCCCCAATACGTGGACTACGAATACCCCACGGAGACAGCCAAACGAAATCCCTATACCACCATCGTGCATCAGTGCCTTCAAGCGTTGGCCACATCGATGCTCCTGTGACGACGGCCGGATGTCCAACGATGTCAAAAGTGGTCACCGCCACGCAGACACTAGAGGTCAGGCGCACGGCGAAGCGCAGCATTGTGAAAAAAACACTTGCCGCTTTCAGCAATGAGCGGCAGCGCCTTCCCTGAAAGGAGTGAAAATAAACAAAAAACCTTTCGGCGTGCGCCATGTATTCGTCTCGCAACAAAAAAAAATGAAAATTCACACAAAATCAGCGAATGGTGTGTTATGAGGACTTGCCGGCTAGTAGCCTGTCGACAATACTGTTCAAGCTGTACACCTCCGCTTCGCTCTAAATTTCGTCCTTTTGTACGATCTCCTTTCACTGCGTATCTTCCTAAAATTCTAAGTGGGATGTATACTGCAGGGAAGTATCCTCTAGTCTGCTGGGAATGAAGGGGCATGTCAGGCAGTATATGAGTGTGCAACGGCGCCAATTTTTTTCTGCCAGTTTTCAAGCTAGTGTGCGACAACAATTCGTAGAAAAGGGAGTGATACGAACTATATGATACAGTCTTGTTACTTGTTCGCTTCAACAACTGCGGGTACGACTCCGCGCCAAACCCATCCCCTCTGATACGCCCCTTCGTTCGCAGCGAACTAGACTATATATAGCGCACGAGAAACAAAAAAAGCCTCACAAACGAAAAAGTTTTACTTGCAGCGCACAAACACTTTGATGAACCCCTCTCCCATCCAGAACACGACCTCGTATTGGGATTATGCCAATGATGTGCGCGTGAAACGAAAAAAAAACTATTAAACAAATTTTCTCGAGGGCCTCCTCTCCCCAGCGGCCAATTACGACCTCCTCCGTTGTGTTTCCACAACGGGTTCTGTGCCCTGATGCAGAGAGGAGAACAAGATCCTTCCCTCACGAAACTACTATCTTCCTACTATATATAATCCGCTAAGTACAGTCCTCATCATTGCGGACCGGTTGGGCGTGTCAGGCGGATGAGTTTGGCGCGGTGCCAAACCCGTTCTCCACCAGTTGTTAAAGCGAGCAAGTGATATGACTGTATCATATCGTTCGTATTACTCGTTTTCTACCACTTTTTGTCGCATGCGCGCTTCAACAAGAAGGCAGAGAACGGCTCTGACAGCGGTGCACACTCATACTGCCTGACACGCCCAACCGTCCGCAGCGAACCACAGTATACGTTGTTCACACTACCAACAGGTGATGTAGGAGATGTGAAAGGGATATTAGTGACGGGTGACATAGAGGGATAGCAACTGATAGGGGCTAATAAAGGGTATTGCCGCCGGCATTCTTCAAGTTTGTAGGTTATTACTACTAGAGGGTCAGTGATATGGACAATGGACATGAAGAAAGGCGGTTATATCGTTGATATGAATAGATAAGAGGTTACCTTCACTTCCCTCTTTACCACTACACTTCTAGTTTGGGTATTGCAGGCTAAGTGTATGGTAAAGTCATTTTTTTACTGTGGAGCGGGGGGAGGGGGGAGAGCATATAATGCGCGTGAAACGGGGAAAATGAGAAATATCTCCAATCGAAAAAAATTGATATTTTGAAGAGACATATTGCTTCAAAATTGTAGGACTGCTAGAGGTCATCGAAGGTCAATGGTACAGTGGGAGGATAAGCTGTCGGGGTAAGTTATGTAGGAGCCCCGTTTGATGTATGCGACAGTGTGCACCGGACGACATTCGGTCTGTTGCGGTTTCTGATAGCCCCCAACTCTTTCTTATTCCTTACTTCGAATTTTTTAGGATTTCAAATAAATAGAAATTGTCATCAATCGTGATTCACTAAAGTAAATCTCTCCGCATTGCATCACGTCAGGCGCGCAGTAGTGTGGGCCAGCCAAACTGGTTTTTATTATAAAGGGTTAGGAAAGGTCCCAGCTGTTGGGCCCTTACCAGGTTGTTTGGATATTCATCCAAATTAGTCAGACCTTTCGACTGAGATTTCGGAAGTTGCAAGAAGAGAGCAGTTTCACAATCCTAGCTGATTCCTTGAAGTGTAGGAAAGGCTTTTTGCCTAGCCAAGGTACTGGGATAGATGGAAGAGGCTGGTCCTTGATGCGCGATTTGAAAATCGGCTACTTCTCGTTGCGTCTCCTGGTTGAGCCTTCGAAGGGGGGAGGATAAGGCAGAAAGAAAGAGGGAAATGAAGGAAAGAGGAAGAGAGAAAGGAGAAGAGTCACGATTTACAGATATCTGTGGAGTTTGAAAATGCCGCTGTTAGCCCGTGTAATTGCATACCTGGAGCGGTTACCGTATCTCACACACTTTCACTTTATGCTACTCAATACGATAGGCCTGTATTTAGCGGAATCACGAAAGGGTAGAAGGCATGTGTCTTGCGCTGAGGCTGTACTGCTAAACGAGTACGCTTACAAATGTAAGGCCGCTGCTGCAAAATTCTTGGTCCAGTCGGAGTTAAATGTTTAATGGAAACACAGGAAGCATCGTATTTTTCCCTTCTTCAGGAAGAAGGGGTCGCAGTTCATAATGCCTTTCGGTACTGCAAGAATACTTGTTCACCATTCATCTTCTAACTCTCGAACTCTGATGGGACAGCTAAGCTTTCGTGTTCAAGATAGATGTACCTATGAGGAAAGGTGAGAAAGGTAGAAACATGAGCTGCGCTTTAGGCATTGCTCACAGTCTGCGATCCTGACGAAACGGCGGTTGGGCGAAAAGCAATAGATGCGTATCGATTTTGCTGGCGAAAAACGCCAGGGCGGTCGAGCTAGCGTTTCGCGAAGGCGAAAAACGCCGCGGTTCGGCGAAACGCCCGTCGATACGTATCAAAACTGTTTCGCCCAACCGCCAGACTCTTCGCCCAACCGCCAGTCGATACGTATCGAAAGCTTTTCGCCGGAACGCTTCTTTCCAGAGAAACGCTGGGCCGCAGACTGTGAACAATGCCTTACAAGAACATTGTTCTGTTGCTTTTATCAGTAGTTTTCATGCTCTATTGCAACTTTGCCTTCGCGTCGCGGCTGCGCCTGCGCTTTTTTCGCGGTGACGCGCGCTATTTTTTCAACGCAAGTTGGAGAGTAGGTTGGAGGCTTTTTTTCTATTTCGTATTTGAAACAAGAGGCTGTTATTTTCATACTACTTCTGGGGTTTTATCCTTCCAACTATTTATTTTGGTGTTACGGCTAAACTTGCAAGGGGTGAAAACATTCCGTAATGAGGTGAATCACGACTGGTCGTTTGTCAGGATTTTCAGTTTTGAACTGCGCACGCCGTCAATAATCACAAATCTGGAACGTCAGTGAAATGTGAGTGAGTGGTGTTACATGTAAATTCTTTGCTGGTTCCTTTCAAGGATCTAATGAGACACATTTCGTTTTATTGTACTGTTGCTTTATATAAATGTTCTTTTGTGAGAATTGCAAAGCGCAATATTGTGAAAGTGAATTTAGCAACCAACAGGTAAACTGGAAAGCAGAGCAGTGCCCAATCAGCGTTGGGTTGTCTTTTCTTTCGTGCTCAACAAAATGCGCCGTCGTTTATTCCAGGCCAAGAGCGGGCAAGAGAACTTTCCTCTAGGTATTATTCTCGCTCGCCTTCTCTGCTAATAAAAGTCCTCAACTTGCACATGTGTCGAACTGCATAGACAGCTCCGGTTAACTAGCAGAAATAGTAGGATTGTCGCTTCGCCGGAGACATGTGTAGGGATAGCGTACCAGAAATGGGGGAAAAATCAACAATAAAAAAACCATTATGCCAATACGACCCCCCTCCTCATAAGCAAGTACCATCACCCAATGTTCGCTTCCTCTGGCACGGCTCGTCATCGATGGTGTAAAACCCAACGGGGAGGTCGTTTTTAGTCGGGGAGAACGCTGACGGGTGACAGGCGGAAAGTTTTCTGGTAGTTGGTCTTTCCCGTTCCACTTTATCACCCCCTGTCAGTCGTCGCCGAAACTTCAATTTGTAGTAGTTTATCGGAAGTATGTACCCACCGTCTGCAGCATTTTGAGAAATTTTGGCAAGTTAGCAGGTAGGATGGGAAGGAGCATGCCACAGGAGGGATTTTGGGCGTATTCATGCTTTTATGTAAAAATTTTTCACAAGGTGATGGTGTGCCTTGGATCCTAGTCCGGGTACAGTGATTCCTGGGATTTTTTTTTGCTGGCTGGGTTGTCTCAACCCAACGAACTCAAGTAGTACCATCGCTACAACTTTCTGTTACTTTTTGAGCTTTTTTCACTGAATAAGAGGATCATGAGATGAGGGAGTTCCAATGTGTTCTCCAACTTGTAGGTACCGTATTCTGTTTTGTGGTTCGATTGTTTCGAAGGGAATCGTTGAAGTCCCTTGTGAATTGCACTGCGCATTCCGTTTGGGAGGTCATCCATTCGTCACTTGCATTTGTTGCTAAGGGGAATGCCGCCACGCTCGTTTACGTAGAGTGGTAAATTATTCAGCCAAAGCATTTTGAGGCAAGGAGGGGAGGAGGAGGGGAGCATTTTGAGGGGAGTAAGAGGTGGAATTTACGCTGGCATCGTTGCAGGGTTGGCAGAAAACGAAACTTTCCCCGTGTTTCCTACTCCTGGTTTTAATGTGAAGCTTTCTTCCTTTGCTGACGACAACCACCTAGTTTTGATTACATATTTTATGTGCGTCGTTGCTTGCATATGTGCGACCTTGCGAATAAATGCGGCTCATACCTCAGGACACGAGTGACCTCTCTTTGACTGACTAACTGACTGACTGACTTTTCTGTAGTTATTCGCAAAAATCTATCCTTTGTCTGTTTCACTATCAGCTCGGTAAGAATTCCTCTCATACTTGATTTTGAGGTCTTACATAGTCTGTGTCTCCTTTTTATCTCGTCGATTCCTCTTGCAATTGGTTATCTACAAGCTAGATTTACAGTTTAGCTTTGTTCAGCAGCAGCCACCATGGATATGTCCCTCGATGAAATTATAGCAAAGAACAAGAGGGAGAAAAGAGGAGGTGGTAGAGGTGAGTCGTTTACTATTTGGATTTCATATTTCCCTCTCTCGAAAATTGTCCCTTAGTTACTGTGGCGTAGAAGTCAAACCATCCTTTCTGCGTTACCCCTGGCATTTGTTCAGCATGGTTG